CAAGGGCTGGTGTCCTGCAAGTTTCAGATGTCCTTGACACAACAATGGCTAAATTACCTCCTCGACATGTCTTAAAGTTCTCCAGAGTAAGAGTCCTGGTAATGAGCTAATCATTTGATTCAGGTATCTTGATAGGGTCGGGCAGCATGGTGGTTAGCACTGTTGCCGCACAGCAAGAAGGTCCTGAGTCCAACATCAGGCCGGGGTCTTTCTGTGTGGAGTTTGCATGTTCTCCCCGTGTTTGCGTGGGTTCCCTCCGGGTACTCCGGCTTCCTCCCACCGTCCAAAGACATGCAGCTTGTGGGGATAGGTTAATTGGAAAATCCAAATTGTCACTAGATGTGAATGTGCGAATGAAAGTGAGTGCGAATGGTTGTCTGTCCCTGTGTGTTAGCGACCTGTCCAGGGTGTATCCCACCTCTCGCCCTATGACAGCTGGGATAGGCTCCAGCGCCCCCCGCGACCCTGAAAAGGATAAGTGGAAGCGAATAGATGGATGTTGATAGGGTGATATCTAAAACCTGCAGGACACTGGCCGTTAAGGCCTGGTGTCCCCACCCATGATTTAAATCATTTTAATTCCAGCTCTGTGACTGGACACTCCCAGCTAGGGTCATGCAGTTGGATGGATCTCGTTAGAAAGCACCACACTGTTTGATTCATAAAAACTCCACACACAGTATCATTTAATGATTTATTGACATTTACTTTTTTCCACCATGGTTTCTCTTGATACCAGTAGTACTTACCATAAAGTTTCTTTTTCATTTAAATTACATTTATAATGTTTTACTCACATACACATTTATTGTTTAATTTTCTTATTGCAATAAACAAGAGTAGCCAGAATGAGTCAGGTATTGCTACAATTCGCCATACAAAGTCTTTGTCCCTCTAATAATGAAATTCAAAAATAAATTTATTGGCAAGACAAAATTACACCATAGCCTCTCCATCTCTCTCTCTCTGCTCTGAGAAAGACCGAGGGCAGAATAAGGCTAAGGCTAGTAGCCTAAACACAGCTAACATGAAATACCTGCCCAGAAAATAGGAATACCGTTTATTTCCCACATGTGAATGATGAAAATGACTCTCTGGTATTTACCACTTTATGAACATATCAAGGACAATATGAACACGTGGTGCTACTTGACTGACCTACCAGGGACGTCTTTGCAGTACTTTGATAAGGCTCGGTTATTGGTCAACTCTGTGACTTGAATCCAGAACGACTGATGAATCTCACCGTACCAAACACACGCAGGTTTTTGTCCCCATAGTTGCTTTAGGCCACTTTATAGATCCAGGCTGCCTCTGTCTCTGATTGGTGGGGAGTGGGGAGAGAGCAGGTCCCAACACACACTAGAATACTTATAGTACACACACCAACAGGAAGAAAAGCAAGGATGCTGGAATAGCATTTCACTCACAAAATGAACTTGAAGATTACGTTCAGCAACAAAAAAGAGCACAATGGTGGAAGCTGACACAGAGCCAGCTTCTCTTTTTAAGTAATGGCATTGATAATGTTCCTCTAGATTTTCACTTAGACGTATTTCTCACACACAGAAAACAAAAAACAAAAACAACAACAAAATGCAATTCGTTAAGTCCAAATAAAACAAAAAAACCCGTTGAACAGATCTAGCTTTAATCCCTTGATACCTGGTGTTGTACCCTGTTCCCCGAGCAGAGATTACCATAGTAAAAAGGCCCTTTAATATGAAGGGTCAGTCCCTATCTCTAGCTACACCTCTGTCTCTCCGTCCCCACCTCAATCCCCTCAAGAAGTTGCGCTCCCCATGGAAGAACAGAAAAGTCAGTCAGCTGGCGTGCTCCCACTTTACACATGACTCCAGACAATATGTCACAACATGTCACAATGATAACAAGTCACTCTGATAAAAATTGCTCATTGCATTGCAATATTCAGACAAAGGTAAGACATTAGAGCTCATTGCTTCTCAATGAAAGGGCACAGTGTACATCTCGTTCAGAAAAGGGTGTTAGTTTCAAGCTGTCAGGCAAGATAAGTCTGCTGCTGCTTAGCTAGTGTTTGTGGCTCCCCACTGTCAGTCGACCTGCCTGTTTATATCATTCTGTCCCTTATATAATTCACTCTCTGATCATTTCACCCTTTTCCTTGTTTCCCTTGATGACGTTAATAACATTTCCTACCTACAAAAATATTTTTTTTTTATCATGTTTTCTATTTTGCTCTTTTTTTTTTTTAAATGTGTGATATAAATGTAAACCAACAGTCCAAACCAAACAAGAAAAACAAAGTGCTCACCAGTCTTTGTAAAAGAAAACAAATCATGGTGTGTTTCATGGCTTTCAGTTGTAAGACAGGAAGTATCAATAGATGCCTTGGGGCTGGACGTCTCGGCTCCTGCTCCGGGCGGCTTCTCTGGGCTTCTGGCTTGGTTGTCGCTTCAGCTCAAGATCATTTGTCAAAGAATGTATTTGGCTTTCAACTTCCTCTATTTAATTTGTTGCCTTTCAGCATCACGGTTGCCAGTGTTGACGTGTCTCCCACAATAGACTCATATGAACCTTTGGATAATAGGAAGCTGAGGAGAAGGATAGTGCAGGAATTGGGAGAGGTCAACCCAGTGATGCAGAACGCTGTGCAGCATCCTGCTGTGAGGTGGCGTGGAGAAGAAATTAGGACAAAGGGTGGCACACAAGTCATACTTGCCCACCTACACAGTCAGCCTGCGAATGAAGACCAGGGGGATGTGAGGATGATGATTGGCTTTGAAATAATCCAAGCTGAAGCATAACACCTATCCTCTCTTTCTCTCTCTCAAGTACTTTATTTCAAACTGCTGTTCGTAAAACTGCAGAATTCTTTCCATAAAATGCGATCAAAGCTAAAGATGGCGATCGAGTATTTAAACCCGGCAGTACAATATGTATTAATGTGTGATTCCTGCTGCTTCTTTCATCTCCTCTCCCCTTTGGTGAGCCTATTCTCTGACTGTTATGGAGGTTGGCAGATTTGCCCTGTAGCAATTTTTGTTGGTACAATCTATTTTAAAACACATATTTGTCCAGGCCTGTGTATGTCTGCAAGTTGCCTGTGGTGAATCCATCCAGTGACCCGTGCCAGCCTTCCTCTCACCTCACCCTCTCAGGAAATGACAGCAAAGAACAACCCCCCACAGTCACTTTTCTGCTCCACTCATCCCCCCAACCATCAGACATGTTCGGATGTGGCTACCACCTGCCTGTCAGCCAAAGTCATGTTGTATCTAGCGGAGACCTAATGTCACAAATTGGAAAGCTGCTGACCTCCGGCACGGAGCAGGACATGTACAGTGCCGTCGAAGCCTGTACAGCTACATGTGGCGCACACAGCAAAGACTGATGGAAGCAGCTACCCTACTGACATAACATTATTGTCTTTGTTTTTGAGGTGCATAGGATGAGAAGAACACATTTAGCCGTGGTGACAGGTGGAAAAAACAACCTGTCCCGGAATAATTATGTAACACTACGTGTGGTCGAACGTTTCTAGAAAGGTCTGCATGTGTTTCTTCTGTAGCTATTGAGGTGGCCACGAGAGGGCCACAGTGCAAGGGAGGGACCGGGAGGTGAGAAATGTACAAGGGAGTTTGATGCATAATGACTCTCTGATAACTCCATCTGCAGATCACTCAAAAAGTCTTTTGAAATGGAGGGAGAGTGAATGGAGAGTTTCAGGTAAAGGGAAAAATAGAGACTCGTACTCCTTTCCACTGTTCCCTCGCTATTCTCTCAGTCAGATATTTATATTATCAGATTTTTTTCCCCCCCCCCTTATCAATTGCTGTTAGTCGATCATGTTTGTAGCTTCACAGTGTGCTTTTGGAGTGGATGTTCCTGACTGGCTGAAGTCAGATGGTTATGTGTCAGTAAGGAGAGAAGAGGATTGGCCCGTGGGTGGTGCGGATGGGCCCCGGGGCAGG